GTGGCACAATCTCTGCTCACTGCAACCTCCGCCTCCTGGGTTCAAGTGATTCTCTGCCTCAGCCTCCCGAGTAGCTGGGATTACAGGCGCTCGCCACCACGCCCATCTAATTTTTTGTATTTAGTAGAGACGGGATTTCCCCATGTTGGTCAGGCTGGTCCCGAACTCCTGACCTCAGGTGATCCGCCTGCCTCAGCCTCCCAAAGTGCTGGGATTATAGGCTTGTGCCACCGTGCCGGCAAAGATTGCATGTTTTTGAGACTTCTTGTGACTGTTTTCTCCCTGTCATTTCTACCCCTCCCTATCTGTCTCTCCACTGCTCTGGTTCAGGCCTTCGGCATCTCTTGCGTTGAATTTTATGGTAGCCTTCCACCTGTTCCTGATGAACACTGTCAGTGCAGCGTGTGTTAAGTGTACTGGTGTGGTGGTGGGTGCTGTGACAGTACAGAGGAGGGGCAGCTCTCTCAGTCTGATGGTTTGGGGTGGGGGGTGGTGAGAAGGGGTTGGGGAGGGCATCAAGGAAGGCTTCCTGGAAGTAAGCAGTGAGCTGACTCTGTAGGTGGAATGGGCATTAGCACAGCATGAACACGGAGCATCAGCATTGTGGGCTGGAGAGCAGAGAGCACGCACAAGGTCGCGGTGGTGGAGGCGGCAGAGCACGCTGGTTCTGGAGAGTGGGCGCTGGCTCTGCTGCTTCCTGGCTGTGTGCTTTTGGGGGAAAGGGACTTCCCCTCTCTGTGTTTTAGTTTTCTCAACTGTAAAATGGGGATAGTAATAGTAGCTAACTCCTAGGGTGGTTGCAAGACCAAATGATGCAGCATATATTGAAGTTGTGGCTGGGAGAAGCAGGCAGATGAGGTCATTATGGGGTCTCTTGATGTACAGGAGGCAGCCGTGTATGCAGGTTTGGAGCTGAGGTGATGGAGATGGTTTTGTTAGCTAAAGGGCTGGCTAGGGTAGCGGATACAAGCTGGTCTTTAGAGTCAGACCACCTGGGTTTGGATTTCAGCTTCACTGCTTGTTAGTTATGTGACCTTGAGCAAGCCGTTTCCTATGTGCCTCAGGTTTTTGTCTATAAAATGAGAATTCTTGCTCATAAGAGTATTGCAATTTTTTTTGTTTTTGTTTTTGTTTTTAAAGATGGAGTTTTGCTCTTGTTGCCCAGGCTGGAGTGCAATGGTGTGATCTCGGCTCACTGCAACCTCCCCCCAACCGGGTTCAAGTGATTCTCCTGCCTCAGCCTCCAGAGTAGCTGGGACTACAGGCATGCGCTGCCACGCCTGGCTAATTTTTGTATTTTTAGTAGAGATTAGGTTTGTCCATGTTGGTCAGGCTGGTCTCGAACTCCTGACCTCAGGTGATCAGCCTGCCTTGGCCTGCCAAATTGCTGGGATTACAGGTATGAGCCACTGCACCTGGCCTTTTTTTTTTTTTTTTTTCCTTCATAATAGGGTCTCATTCTGTCACCCAGGCTGGAGTACAGTGGCATGATCTTGGTTCACTGCAGCCTTGATATCCTGGGCTTCAGCTATCCTCCTGCCTCAGCACCCTGAGGAGCTGGGGCTACAGGCATGTGCCACCTTGCCAAGCTAATTTTTGTAGAGATGAGGTTTCGCCATGTTGCCTAACCTGGTCTTGAACTCTTGGACTCAAGTGATCTGCCTGCTTTGGCCTCCCAAAGTGCTGGGATTACAGGTGTGTTGTGAATAATAAATGAGTTGATATGTAAAATGCTTAGAATAGTGCCTGACATATCATGCTGTGTGTGTTAGCACTTTTTGCTGGAGAAGTTTGTAATGGTTTAGGAACAAGGTATATTTGATTGGTTGTACAGGATTCTGTTAAGTCTGAATAGAGTGGGAGATCCAGCCAGGGGCCAAAGTTTTCAGTGCCTCAAAGTTAGCTGCCAGAGGCCTGGAGATGTCAGCAGCAGGATGGGAAGAGGGTGATATCGCCAGTAGAATAAGTAAAAAAAGGGGAGGAGTTTGTACAAGAGAGTGGAAGAATCATGATCCTGATGTGGCAGTAAATAACAATAGCGACAGCAATTACTTTTGACCAGGCACGGTGGCTCACGCCTGTAATCTAGCACTTTGGGAGGCTGAGGCGGGTGGATTGCCTGAGCTCAGGTGTTTGAGACCAGGCTGGTCAATGTGGTGAAACCCCGTCGCTACTGAAAATAAAAAAATTAGCAAGGTGTAGTGGGCGCCTATAATCCCAGCTACTCAGGAGGCTGAGGCAGGGGAATCGCTTGAACCCAGGGGGTGGAGGTTGCAGTGAGCCAAGATCACGCCACTCACTCCAGCCTGGGCAACAGAGTGAAACTCCTTCTCAAACAACAACAACAAAAGCGTTTTTAAATGAGCTGGGCATGGTGGCGCGTGTCTGTGGTCCCAGCTACCCAGAAGGCAGAGGTAGAAGGATCGCTTGAGCCCAAGGAGAGTGAGGCTGCAGTGAGCTGTGATTGTGCCACTGCACTCCAGCTTGGGCAACAAAGCGAGACCATGTCTCCAAAAATAAAGAAATCAATAAAGAATATTACAGAAAGCTTGGGCTATGGGAGTAGGCAGTCTGTCCAGGGTGCCAGTATTCCGAGGGTTTCTTCACCTTCATGGAGGATGAAGAGTCATTCCTGCCTGAGTTGGTAAAGCCAAGGTTGCCAGCAAAACGGAGTTACAAATCCCAGCCTCAGGAGGAGGGGCAGTTGGGAAGCCCAGCAGCAGCTGTTTGAACCTCTGGCAATTGGGAGTACACCATCTCTGCTGGTGGGGGCTGGCCTTGACATCCCGTGGCCACCAGGGGATGTGACCTCCTTTGGTTGCTTTCTCTGTACTGGCGATAAATCCCAAAGCCCTTTGCTGGTGTCTCGGTGGTGGCACGTGGGAGAAACCCTGTAGGCAGGGGAACGGGAACCTGTTCTCAGAGAGCTGCAGAGGTAAGGGAGCCTCCCAGAACAGGGTCTTGGAAATCGAGTTACTGGGGCTCGGAAATGGAAAAGCAGGTTCAAACGGTAGCTGCTGATTACCCTCCCTGAGGCCGCCGCAGCCCGAGCCTCGTGGGCAGAGTCATACCCAGCAAGGTTGGGCTGGGACCCCACTGAGGCCCAGGGCCTTTCCACCAGAAAGGCCAGTGCAGGTGAAGAGCCATCTGGCAGAAGATGGGGACACTAGGCTGAGAAAAGTAGTGAGAATATTTGGAGCTGCTTGAGATAGACCTGTGGGACTGTCCCTCATCAGAGGCCGAGCCAGCAACCATGGAGGCCGGGAGGGCTGGCAGGTGTCAGCAGGGGACTGAGGCTTTGGCAGCTTCTGCTCCAGGCTGAGTTGCAACCAGGCCTGGGACCCCCACCGCTGCGGGCAGTTAATCTCCGAAGGCCGGAGTCACCACCACTAGAGAGCAGGAACATTGAACTTTTCAATCACATTAATTTCCACAGGAAATTGTTGTCTTCCTTTTGTCCAAAGGTTAGTGATTTATATTTACCATCCTCTTAACTAGCCTTGAAATTTACTGTTGCCAGGTCACCACCGGCATCCATAAATTTCAGGGTGGCAGCTGAGCATAGCCAAGTGGCTTGGTCCTTGGAAGGGTACATGCCGGCCCTTTTGGGAGGGCAGATTAACTGGCTACAGACGGTCCTTGTACAGAAGTCCCCCTGAGGGGGTGGGTATTCACTTTGCAGGGGAAATGAGATGAGGTCTGTTTGACAAGGTTGCAGGGAGGCTTCGTTAAAGGCAGCCCTGGTGGTGGTGGCGGCTGGCTTGTGCCTCTTAGCATATCACCAGCTGTGGATGGGGTGGCAGCACAGATGGTGCTGGAGTAGTTTAAGGTGGGGAGCAGGGACCAGATTCCCAGCCCTACACTTTGCTTAGACAAGTACCTTAACCTCACTCTGCCTCAGTTTCTTCATCTGTAATAAGAGGACCTTCCTTAGAGTATTGTTATAAGGGTTAAACCTCAATAAATATAGGCTGTTATTATTCTCTGGCAGGACAGGGTAGATGGCTTGGTACAGGTCAGAGTCAGTCAAACTCATGTCCCTGCCTGCACTGTCCCATCCATTTCTCCTTTTAAGACCTTCTTCTTCCCAGGAGGCTGAGGTGGGCAAATCACTTGAGGTCAGGAGTTCAAGACCAGCCTGGCCAACATGGCAAAACTCCTCTACTATAAAAAAAAAAAAAAAGCTGCACGTGGTGGTGGGCGCCTGTAATCCCAGCTACTCAGGAGGCTGAGGCAGGAGAATTGCTTTAACCCAGGAGATGGAGGTTGCCCTGAACTGAGATTGTGCCACTGCCGTCCAGCCTGGGTGACAGAGCAAGACTCCATCTCAAAAAAGACCCTCTTCTTCCATCTGCTCATGGAATTAGAACAGGGGCTGGCAAACTTTTTCTGTAAAGGGCCAGTCAATATTTTAGGCTGTGCGAGTCACCTGATCTTGTTGAAACTACTCCACTCTGCTGCTCCTAGCGTAAAAGTAGCCATAGACCCTAAGTAAATAATGAGTGTGGCATGTTTCAATAAAACTTTATTTGTGGACACTGAAATTTAAATTCCATATAATTTTCACGTGTCACAAAATATTCTTTTGATTTTTTTAACCATTTAAAAATGTGAAAATTATTTTAGCTCGCAGGCCATACAAAAATAGACAGTAGGCTCAGTTTGACCCTGGGGTTGTAGTTCGCTGAGCCCTGGATCAGAAGGTGAAAGGGCATGGAGAAGGTATTTACTTTCCTCACTTGGGCTGTCTTCGAGTCTCTAAAGAAAGGTGCTCTTGTGTTGGTTTGTCCGGTGACCCCACGGTGCCTCCTGAGAGGCCGACAGAAAGGAGCTGGAGCAGCATGGGGTGGGAGCTGGTGCATACGTGCTGGCAGGATGCCTGGGCCTGGCACCCATTGGTTCCCTGCCTGCAGCAGCCAGAGTGCTGCTAGCTCTGGATTGGGCAGTCACCCCTGCCCCCACCCCAGCTCTGGTGTTGACAGTCCACATCTGTGTTTCAGAGAACATCCCCAGCCCAGGTGGGAAGGAGGCAGAAGCTCGGCAGCCTGTGGTGATTCTCTTGGGCTGGGGTGGCTGCAAGGACAAGAACCTTGCCAAGTACAGCGCCATCTACCACAAAAGGGTGAGTACTCTGGTGCCCTCACCCCTGAGCTGCCGTGAGGGCTGACCACCTTTGAGGCAGGCCTGGGAATGGCTTTAAGAACAGCCTGTGGAGATCAAGGCCAGCTTGGCCAACATGGTGAAACCCCGTCTCTACTAAAAATATAAAAATTAGCTGGCATGGTGGTGCATGCCTGTAATCCCAGCTACTTGGGAGGCTGAGGCAGGAGAATCACTTGAGCCTGGGAGGTGGAGGTTGCAGTGAGCAGAGATTGTGCCATTGCAGTCCAGCCTGGGCGACAGAGACTCCGTCTCAAAACAAACAAACAAACAAACAAAAACTGTGAGGAAGGCCATGGGGTTATAGGGACTTGGTGGGATTATCCCCACTTGGCTGCCAGCTCTGTGGCCTGGTGTGACCCCTTTGGTCTCCTGATGGCTTCCCCTTCCTTCCTCCCTGCATCCCACAGTGGGCAGCCCACACTTGATGTGCCTCACAGTTGTGGAGTTGGCCCAGGCTCCCGTCCCTGTTAACTGGTCAGTGCCTCTGCGGGCAGCAGGAGCTGGGACTGGGTATCTGGGCATAGCTTGTACTCCCAGGACCTCCTCCTTTCCCACCAGGTGAGTTTCTGTCTTGTGACTGCCCATGGCACCTTTCACATTCCCAGACTAGTAGGGCCTCTTGGAAAAGAGATGATGCTGCTTCTCATCCAACCAAGAGTTGCATATAGAGACTGTGGTAACTGCAGAGGGCCTTAGCAGGACCTGGTTATATTTTGGAAGCCTCTCTCACATCTTGGGCCTCCAACTCCACCCTCCCCTCCCCAGAGCTCTCCCCAAAACAGCCTCCTGCTGGGGTACCCATACAGACAGCTCCGACTGCCAGCTGGAAGCCCTGGACTGAGCAGTGGGGGGCACCTGGGAGAAAGGCCAGCTGAGCCCCCTTCCTCTCGGCATCCCTCCACTCACTCACATCCACATCCCACCTGCCCGAGGTGTGTGGTGGCCCTGGAATGGCAGAGGGATTGGGGGAAAATGTAGTTCTGGGCTTGAAGCCTCTCCCCAGCTCCGAGGCTGGAGCTCTGGTGTTGCCTTTTACAGACAGCCTCACTCTGCGGGCAGTGTCAGCTGCTTCTGCGTTCTGCTCACTGGGCTCGGCTTGTCTGGCTTCTTTATTAGCCTGAGATCCCTGAGGGCAGGCAGGGGACCAGGGATAGTCAAGTGTGGCTGGGATGAAGAACGAAGGGACAGGTACCCGGCAAGAGGTGGGGCTTGGAGGGGGTCCTTAGGGGATTTAAGCAGGGATGTGATGTTAGATTCGTGAATCAGAAAGTCCCTCTTGGCCTGGCGCAGTGGCTCACGTCTGTAATCCCAGCACTTTGGAAGGCCGAGGCAGGCAGATCACTTGAAGTTAGGAGTTAGAGACCAGCCTGGCCAACATGGTGAAACCCCGTCTCTACTAAAAATACAAAAATTAGCCGGGCATGGTGGCGCACACCTGTAGTCCCAGCTACCAGGGAGGCTGAGGTGGTAGGGATCGCTTGAACCCGGGAGGTGGAGGTTGCAGTGAGCCAAAATCGCACCACTGCACTCCAGCCTGGTCAACAAAGCGAGACCCTGTCTCAAAACAAACCAAGTCCCTTGCTGCAGAGTAGCGGGGAGATTGGAGGGCCGGAGCTGGAAGCCAGAAATGAGTTCAGAGGGGCTTGCCATGATCCAGGGACAGAGGGTAGTCAGGACCTTGGAGCTGGGAGCGTCAGTAGAGGTAAAGTGATGGACTGAGGAGCTTGTCAGGAGGTAGAATGGTAATTTAATGAGAGACTGGGCATGGGCACAGGGATAGGGAGATTCCCAGGTTCGCCAGGTTTCTGGCTGGGTACCTCCTGGGTAGAGGGGAGTGTGTTTTTTGAGACAGGAACACTAGAAGAGAATCCATAGGCTCTGGAGTGGATGAGATCCCCCAGGGAGTGTGTAGAGGGACAGAAGAGGGACCTAGGACAGTCCTGAGGAACCCAAACTTAATGGAGTGGAAGATGAAGAGGGTCCTATGAGGAAAGGAGGAGTGGGTAGAGATGGATCTGAAAACCCAGGAAGGTGTGACAGAATCTGCAGAAAGAGCCTTTGGGAAATGGGCCATTGTACAGGGCGGGAGTAAAGATGCTATTTGGGCAGAAGGCACGAGGGAGAAAGTAGATGGAGTAAGATCCCAGAGAAGGCAGAGGTGTTGAGGTTGCAGGGTTGGGGGAGGGGTAGTCTTGGAAAGGAAGACTTTCCAATAGGGAGGACAGGATGAATGTAGAGAAAAAAAAAGTCCAATCCAAAACTCTAATATTTTATTATTTAAAAGAAAACAGGGTGGATGCTGTGACTCATGCCTGTAATCCCAGCACTTTGGGAGGCTGAGACAGGAGGATCACTTGAGCCCAGGAGTTTGAGACCAGCCTGGGCAGCATGGTGAAACCTGATCTCCACAAAAAAATTAAAAAAATTAGCCAGGCACAGTGGTGCATGTCTGTAGTCTTAACTACTCGGCAGTGTGAGGTGGGAGGATCACCTGAGCCTGGAAAGTTGAGGCTGCAGTGAGCTGTGATTGTGCCACTGGACTCCAGCCTGGGTGACAGAGTGAGACCCTGTCTCAAACAAAACAAGCAAAACAAAACAAAATGAAAACACCATGTTCCAGCACCTAGAGATGATCTCTATTTATACTTAGTGTATATCCTTCCAGCTTTTTTTGGGGAGTATATATTTTCTTTACCTACATGAGACCTATTGAATGTACTGCTTTGTATCCTGCTTTTTTCAGATCATGATCTCCACCTTCTTGTTTCATCTCATGTAGTTTCCAGTCCATATTCAGATTCCCTAATTGTCCCTAAAGCATCCTTTACAGTGGATGTGCCCAAACCAGGATCCAATCTAAGATCATACATTGCATGTAGTTATTTTGTTTCTTCTTAAGGCTCTTTTAAATCCAGAACTGTTCCCCTCCCCACCTGATTTTAGATTAAATGTCTTGCTCTGTCACCCAGGCTGGAGTGCAGTGGTGCAGTCATAGCTCACTGCAGCCTCACCTCTTGGGCTCAAGTAATCATCCTGCCTCCAGCCTCCCAAGTAGCTGGGACTGCAGGCATGCACCACCACGACGCCAAGCTAGTATTTTTTTCTTCTTCTTCTTTTTTTTTTTTTTTTTGAAATGGAGTCTTGCTCTGTCACCCAGGATGGCGTGATCTCGGCTCACTACAACCTCTGCCTCCCGGGTTCAAGCAATTCTCCTGCCTCAGCCTCCCAAGTATCTGGGATTACAGGCATGTGCCACTACACCTGGCTAATTTTTCTATTTCTAGTAGAGACGGGGTTTCATCATGTTGGTCAGGCTGGTCTCAAACTCCTGACTTCATCATCTGCCCACCTCGGCCTCCGAAAGTCTTGGGATAACAGACGTGAGCCACTGTGCCTGACCACTTTTTTTTTCTTTTTTAGAGATGGGGTCTCACTATGTTGTCCAGGCTGTAGAACAGCCCCTTTTTTTCATGTTACTGACTTGAAGAGACTGGGCTGCAAGATATTTTACGAGTGTGGGATTCCAGATGCTGCCAGGGAGAAACATACAATGGGGACTGAAAGGCCTCTGTCGGATTTGAGCATTTGGGAGAATGTGGGTAGCCTTAAGCAGCCTCCTCTTCAGAGTCTTGGGAGGGATGCTTAGGCACTCCAGGGCTAGGAGGTCAGGCGACTGATGGCAAGGTACCTCTGCTGACCATCCCTGTTTAGCCATGGGTCATTTAACTACTGTGGGCATACGATTTTCTCCTTGTTACTACCACGTCACTAATTACTGCTGCTATTGGTTGAGAGTTTACTTTGTGTCAGGTGCTGCTTTGGTCATTTGAGATACATTTTTTTTTCCATTTAATTTTACCCATAACCTTATGAGATGGGTGTTATCCCAATTTCACCATAATCTTATAGATGGGGAC